CTCTTCAGCTCAAGGCTAGCACTCTACCACTTGAGCCACAGCACCACTTCCGGCTTTTTTCTTTTTGCTTATGTGGTGCTGAGGAATCGAACCCAGGGCCCAGTGCATGCAAGGCAAGCACTCTAACACTGAGCCACCTTCCCAGCCCCGGCTTTTTTAGTTTGAAACAAAATGGAGAATATATTATGTATTATCATTGTGTTACATGTAACCATTGTGTGTGTATAAATTATATAGCTTGCTTTCCCTTAAATACCATACTATAAATCCCAGGCTAATAATCCTAGGCCTAATTTTACTAATATCTATATATTTTGCCACTTGGATATACCATGATATACTCAACAATCTATCCTACATTTTGGTACATGCATAGTAATTAATATTGTGTAGTAACAGTAATAATATCAGTAAAGTAACTGGATTCAATAGCTCATTAATCCTGTAAAGCACAAGTTAATTTTACTATTCTGTTTTGCTGTTATAACCAGAAAAAAATGGATCACAATCTAATGTGACATGCATTGTTAGAATGAGAAGGTATGCCCTAATGTCTTTTGTCAATATTCTTTATACCATGTAAAATTATTCAAATAAATACCACTCCTTAATTTCTTACAAATCAGTACTACCTAAGAAATTCTTTAATGTGCCAAAGGTAACAGTGCAAGCATAGAAGAGAACCACTAGAGGGCTGTATTTGCCCATTTACTTACTTTAATTTTATAACTGAAGATTTATCTCTTCTCATATAAACTCCTTAGGAATAGTTGATAGTTTCAAATCTTATAGACATCAGATATAAAAGTAGTACTTATTATTATTATTTTTTTTTTTTTTTGCTGATGGTAGAGCTTGAACACTGGGCCTGGACGCTGTACCTGAGTTCTTCAGCTCAAGGCTAGTGCTCTACCACTTGGGCCACAGCACCACTTTCCAGTTTTCTCAGTGTTTTATTGGAGATAAGACTCTTCACGGACTTTCTTGCACAGGCTGGCTTTGAACCACTATCCTCAGATCTCAGCCTCCTGAGTAGCTAGGGTTACAGGCTTGAGCCACCAATGTTGGGCTCAATAGAACTTTTAGGAGTACCTATAGCTGGGTGTTGCTGGTTAAATCCTGCAATCCTGTTTAGGAGGCTGAAAGCAAGATGATCTGAGGCCAGCCCGGGCAGAAAGTTTCTTGAGATGCCATCTCAGCAGCTGAGTGCCAGTGGCTCATGCCTGTAATTCTATGTATTAAGATTTGAAAGCCGGGCGGCTCACACCTGTAATCCTAGCAACTGAGGAGGCTGAGATCTGAGGATGGCAGTTCAAAGCCAGCCCGGGGAAGGAAAGTCCATGAAACTCTTTTACCTCCAATAGACCATCAGGAAACCGGTGGCGCTGTAGCTCAAGTGGTAGAGCACTAGCCTTGAGCTGAAGAGCTGAGGGACAATGCTCAGGCCCAGAGTTCAAGCCCCATGACAGACCAAAAAAAAAAAAAAAACCCACCACAGGTGCATTGTCTATATTCCAAGCTATTCAGGAGGTAGAGATCAGAAGGATCTTGGTTCAAGTCTAGCCTGGGCAATAAGTGAGCAATTTCAACCAATAACACTGTGCTTGGTGATGAGTACCAGTCACCTCAGCTACTACATAGGAAATGGAAATAGAATCACAGGCCAGTCTGGTCAGGTAAAAACCCTCTGGATGTGTGGCTCAAATGGTACAGCATGGAATTAAGCTCAAGTCAGGTGCCAGTGGCTCACACCAGTAATCCTAGGATCTAAGGATCATGGTTCAAAGCCAACCTGGGCAGGACAGTCATAAACCACCAGGAAACCGGAAGTGATGCTGTGACTCCAGTGGTAGAATGCCAGCCTTGAGCTGAGAGTAGCCCCCAGGCCCAGAGTTCAAGCTCCATGGTGGACAAAAAAAGTTTAAGCTCAATGACCCCCATCCTGTACCACCAAAAATGAAAGGCTGGACAGCTTGTTCCTATAGCTGAGTTTTAGAGACAGAAGCACAGTAGGTAATTCCAAGTAATTATGTTTCCTGCATGAGTAATACAGAAAAGCTGTATTGGGAGGAAGCTTAGGTATGCGAATGTAAGTGTATTGTGTTTATATAACCCACAACACTTAAAAATTTCATCTCTTTCCTCAGTCAGTCAAATAGCAACCTTCCTCATACTTCTTCACAAAGTTTAAAGCACCAGGAAGTATGCATGCTAAATTTTTGTTGCCCTAACAAGGACATTTTTGGCATGAAAGCAATCAAGAGTGCTATTCAGTTAGCTAGCAACCAAAAGATATAAAATGTGATCATCAAAGTATTTTTTACAACAGAATTTACTGATTATTATACTACCAAACTCAATGTTAGGCTCATAAATATGCCCACTTAATTCAAAACATGAAATACCCCAAAGCAAATTCTGCATATTACTATAGAAGGTCAAATGAGATATGGAAATGTTTAAAGATGGTCATTGACCAAAAAATAATTATATATATACATATATGGGAAATGAACAAAGTGGCCTCCATTATTTCCATTTTAGTTTAAATACTAAACACCAATAGTAATGTTGAACTACTATCTATCCTCTGACAGTACCATTCTTCTCTATGGTTAGGACTGTTTACAAACTGCTAACACTTTCACCCCAAGGATTCGGAATCAGCCATCTTTCTGAGGCTGTAAAAGCAATATCCCCCCTTCCTGTACTTATTCAACATTCATATTTATGTTCTATGTATCTATTAATCCTGCTACAGTTAATAAGAAAGGATAACTAAAATCCAAATTATGAACCCACGCAAAATTATATGAACATTTAAAAATCAATCACTCCGAGGGAGGGGGGGACAATGTTCAAAAAGAAATGTACTCATTACCTTATGTAACTGTAACCCCTCTGTTCATCATCCTTACAATAAAACAAAATAAAAAATCATTCATGTGAGAAAATTCAAAAATATAGATATTTCCTTCTGAGAAGTAACAAGGAAGAAAGCAAGTCAATAGTAATGGGCAAATGGTTCCATACTGAGGTATTCAAACATGCTATTATGGTTACTTCTTAATACTAAACTAGTAATGGAGACCCAAATCAATTTCATTTTAATAATCTCAGTGTCTAAACATGTGCTAGGGATCTAAATAAATACGGTAACGCCTTAAACTTCTATAGAATCATTTTATTAAAAAAGGAAAGAACCTTCAGTAAGGCCTTCAACATCACTGAATAATGAAAATAGAATTTTTCTTTGGAATTATAGTTCTTACTTAAAACCAAGCTACTCAAATTTTAAATTGCACATTAGAATCTAATTTTATAGTCATCGTCATTATTAATAACCACACAAAAATATTTCAATTGAAGGTATGGACTTGAACACAGGGCTTATGCTTGCTAAGCAACACTACATTTGAGCCATGCCTCTTGCCCTATAATCTATTAACTGCCTTTAGAAAACGGCTTTATTCTATATACTAATGCACATAAGTGAACTAGTCTTCTCTCAATTAAAAAGGTAAATATTTGATAGAGGTGCTAACTTATAATCTCAAAAGTATTGCTCTACTAGCCTGTTACATGGAATATTCTAAGTACATAAACATTCCCTTTCTATAATCTCCTGGGTTTAAGCTTAAATTCCTTCAAATGTCCAAAAGTTAGTTTGTTTAAATAAACACACTCTAAAGAATTTAAAAGGAATAAAATGTTTATTTTAAAAATTCAAAATATGGTTCAAATGAAAATTCCTGTCCATTTATTGAGCACCCACGGGGTGCTAGGCATTGTGCCACACTGTTAAGACTTGTTCCTGCTCTTTTAATCGATGGTTCCGATACATCTGACTTTATATGATGTTGCACTGAGTCCCACTGTCAAAGACTGCTATCTCCAAATGGCTCAAGACACAAGTTCCTTATCCACAGTAGAAGCAGGTCACTCCGTCATCACAGAACTCAACTGGCCAAGTCTGATTACATCTAATGTCCTCTCCCTAGTCAAAAGAAAAAT